CCCCGCTCTCTGTGCGCCGCTAGTTGCACCAGGGTCCCCTGGCCTAGGTCTGCTGCTGGGACCCCCCTGGATGATCCCCACTGTGTCCGGGGCACAATCAAAGAGCCGTAGGGCCTCTTGGAGAAGCACGTCCTCGGACACTGCAACATCACCCTCCAGGTCCTCAAGGCCTTGGTTGTGGGGGGCAAGAGAGGGGCTGGGAGGGACGTGGCTGCCCGGGGGGACGTGGCTGCCTGGGGGTGCCCCCGCGGGGCTGGCCGTGCTGGAGATACTGATGTGTGCAGGCTGCCCCTCAATGTGCTGGTAGCTGGGGATGGACATGGGCGGCGGCAGCGGGGCTGGGGTCCCCGCTGTCCTCTGACTTTTCTTGGGTATGAGGTCTTGTGGTAGTCCCTGGGGCGTGCCTGGGGCTGGCCAGGCCGGGGGGGGCCCGCAGGCCCCGGGGCCCCACAGGGCAGCACCCGTCAGAGGAGCAGTGCCATGGCAGAGTGTGGCGGTGTCTGGTGGAGGCAGGCTGGTGCTCGTCCACTCGATGTGGAAGATGCGGGGGTCGAAGTAGCAGCCGCATGGAGCCCTCTGCAGACCTGCGAGGGTGAGTGGGAGCCGTGCTGCACCGCGGGGACCCTCCACGGGCACCCGCTGAGCCGGCCCCGATGGCTGACGTCCCTCGGCTCTGCGCAAGGCACGTGGGAGCTTGCGGCCGGGCCGCTGCCCGTGGGGTGAGCTGTTGTGCCCGTGGGGCCAGGTTGCGAATCGGGGAGGAGGCTGGCTTCTAGGAGGTGAAACGGGAGAGATGGCCCCAAATATTTGGCAACTTGTCTGGCAATTGGATTTACTGGGCATGCATCACCCAGGCGAGGGCAGGGACGCAAGCGCAGCCTTGCTGAACCCCCGTGCCATATCTGCCGGGAGGGACGGGGATGCTGGGAGTACCCAGGGATTGGGGATGCTGAAGGTGCCAAAGGTGCCGGGGTGCCAAAGCAGAGAGGGGTGCCATACCTGCTGGTGGTACCCGGGGGGCCTGGGGTGCCCAGGCTGCAGGGAAGGGCTGCTCCTGCGTGGGCAGTCGGCACGGGCTGGCTGAGCCTGAAAGAGAGACAGGAGTGATGGCCGTCGGTCCTCTCCCCTCTTGGCCCCAAGCACGTCCCCAGGGCTGCAGGGGTCGGGGTCGGCTACCTTGGGGGCCGAAGGTGTCTGGGAGCACAAAAGGCCGCAGGAGCTGGGGCGCTGGGGGGGCCCCGGGGCCACGCGGTGTGAGCTGCAATGGTGTCAGCGCCATGGTCCGTTCTGGCTGTTGGCTGCTAAGGACTCTCTGGCATCTCCCAGGAGGGAATGTGGGGGCTCCCCATGTTCCGCCCCGCCCCAACAGCCTCCCCAGCCCCTCCTGGGGAAGGGGAGGGTTAAGGGGGGCTGGGGTGCCCCCGGTCCCTACGGGCAGCTCTTAGGGTCTGTGGGTGCAAGTGACTTTGTCCGGAAGCCTTGGTCCTTTCCCCGAGCTGGGATATCCTTGGGATTAGTGGGACTTGGTGGAACGAGTGCCATGCCTGGAGTGCTGGCACGGAGGGTATGGGCTGGGCTAGGCAGGGCAGGTGAGGTGGAGGCGTCGCACTAGATGTCGGCGATGATGTGATTGAGAGCCTCTGGGTGAGGGCTAGGGGCATGGAAAACAAAGCAGATGTTGCGGTGGGTGTCTGCTGCCGATGGCCCAGGCGGGGTGCCAGCACTGAGGAGTTCTTCTACAGGCAATTAGGAGAAAACTCTGGGTGGGTAGCCCCTTGTCCTTACGGCGGATTTCAACTTCCCAGACATCAGCTGGGAATAGCATACCGCTGTGATGGGCAGGCCTGGGACATTCCTGAAGTTGGTGGTAGAGACCTTCTTGTCGACAGTTCTCAGGAGCCAAGTAGGAAAGGTGCCCTCCTAAAGTTTTTTGTTGTGAATGGAGAAGGACTCACGGGAGATGGCAAGGTCTTGGCCACAGCGATCATGAAAGGGTTGAGTCTAAAAGTGCCAGTGTAATGAGAAGAACGGTCAGCAGAGTTGCTCCCCTGCAGTTCAAGAGAGGAAGCGTTAGGCTCTTCAGGGGGACACGTAGCAGAGTCCCCCGGGAATCTGCTGTCGAGGGCGCAGGAGGCGGCGAGTGTGGCACAGTTTTTAAGAAGAGCCCTTTGAGAAGCTCAGGGGCGGGCAATTCCCCTGTGTCGGAGGCCAAGCGAGCAGGACAGAAGACCAGCTTGGCTGAAGAGGGAGCTCCTCCAAAGGGGAAAGGAATTGCCCGATCTCTGGACGCAAGGTCAGGCTTCGCAGGAAGGTGACAGAGCCATAGTTCGCTTCTGCAGGGAGAAGACCCGAAAGGCCAAAGCCCAGTTAGAGTTGAAACGGGCCAGTGCTGCGTCAGACAACAAGAAGGGCTTTTTTAAGTCCGTTCATAGCAAGAGAAGGGCTAAAGAAAACTTTGGGGCGATACTTGTTGAAGATGGTCACCTGAGTGACAGGGATGGCGAATAAGCGGAGGCATTCAAGGCTTTTCTTTGCCTCAGCCTTTAATAATGCTGATAGACCTTGGGCTGCCTGGTCTCCTGAGTCAGAGGAGCATGAGTGCGGGGACAGTGACTTTCCCTTTGCGGACACAGAAATTGTCAGGGACCAGCTGTATCAGCTGAATGTTCACATCAGGCCATGGAGCCTGATGGGATTCGTACCAGAGTGGTACTGAAGGGGCTGGCAGGTGTTATGGGCAGGACCCCTCCAGCTCACCTCCCAGAGGTCTTGGGCACCGGGGGAGGTCCCCTCTGACTGCAAGCTAGCCAACGTGATTCCAGTTTGCAAGAAGGATGTGAGGGAAGACCCGGGAACCTACAGACCTGTGAGCCTAACCTCAGTTCCTGGAAAAATTATTCCCAAGATTATACTGGGTGCCACTGAAAGGCCTTTAAAGACGAGTGCAATCATCAGGCTCAGTGAAGACGGGTTCACAAAGGGAAAGTCCTGTTAAAACTACTTTGATATCCTTCTATGAAAAAAAGGTCACCCACCCAGGGGGCGAAGGGAAGGTGATGGATGTCGTTTTTCTGGATTCTGGCAAGGCTTTTGATACTGTTGTTGTCCCGGAAGTGGGATCATACACCCGGGGTGCAACACTCCAATAGACACAGGGAGTAAAGTATCTTATTTAAAGCGTATTTGCGCAGATACGGGT